CAGGGCTGTGGAGTCAGAAGCAATTTTTGGTGGAGTTGGAGTCGACTCCGACCCCGATATGAAATCTTAAGGAATACTATTTTAACACTTTCGATACCATCTGAGCCGCCGCCGGCCTCGCGCTTACGGATTCAACGACGCGTTGAGCCACATGGTGTGGGAATAATACTTTGTGACTTTGGCTCCGGTACCTTAGTGGTATTGGCGAAGGGAGAGGAGGGATTACAGAACATGATGGACAAGTTAGTGGTAACAGGTAGAGAGTATGGAATGGAAATCAACATTGAAAAATCAAAGGTAATGAGGATAGCACCGAGAGCAGAAAAATTTGAACGTACACGTCACCCTATATCTGGTTGGATGATCGTTCACCTCTGCTTAGGCATGTGAACGTGAGGCCAGCAGTCAAGCTAGTTGGTTTTGGCTCCCTGGAGCTGTTACGCCACGGAGTTAATTTAATTTAAGTAATTGACCAACGAAGAAGTATTGAGGAGAGTCAACGAGCAAAGAAGCATTCTGCAGGCGATTACACGAAGGAAAGCTAACTGGCTGGGACATATTATGAGAAGGAATGGATTAATGAGTGATATCACCGAAGGCCAGGTTGAAGGAAAGAGAGGACTAGGAAGAAGATTGATACAGCTAACCGACGACCTTAAACAAGGAAACAAGATGACGTTCCAGGAATTAAAACGAGAAGCCGAGAATAGGGAAAATTGGCAAACTCTTTTTGGGCAGAGCAATGGACCTGTCGTCAGACAGGACACTGAATAATAATAACAACCTTAAGAATACAAAATGTCCACAAATCAACCGATCTCTGCAATAACCATTAGAAGTATATTTAAATATAGGTTAAAAGTCTAAAAAGTGTGGTGATAAAATCTCTTATGGTATCATTTACCATTTTAGTAGGTTTACCATTATTAATACATATTGAGTTTTTATGAGGGAGTCAGAGCTTTTAGTACCGACTCCACAGCCCTGCATAAAAAATGTGTAAAGTCCAAGCAGCTATACATGACAGCATTGATTCTGTAATATAAAATCAAGATGGAATTATGAACACAGTAAAAAATGAAAAATTTCACTATTGCATTTATCCAAATGTCATGAGCACTTATTCTTCGTGCTATTTATGTTTTCTAGTATGATATTAACATCATCAACATAAATCACGTAATTATTTCCAGCCTTTTCTAGTTCAGCGAGCCAAAAATGTGCAATTGACACTTTCCTTTTGCCCTGAAATTACCCTTAGTTAACGCAGCTTGCTCAGTAGTACGTTTATCATTCACCAATCTCATCAGTTGGGAAAAGAAGACAATTTTTTCAACATCACTGCAAGCATTACGCGTTGAGTAGGTAACAAACGACACTATTTTCATATATCATCACTGCAAGCATTACGCGTTGAGTATTTTCATATATACACCGACACGGTACAACCTGAACTACAAATCTGACAAATTTAACATTTTTCTTGGAAATTCAATTGCTATTTGGGCAATAAAATTTGACCCCATTTCCTTCTACCACATACGCCATATTTACCCGAATACAAGACAAACATTTTTTCATAATCTATTATCAAAACAATGGGGGTCATTTTATAATCATGCTCAAAGTTTTATGAATGGGATAAATGATTTTGTTACAAGGAGTATCACAAATATTTTTAGGCTGGGCGGTACATCTGTTCTGTTGCACCATCATCATAATCAAACCCCCCTGCCCCCCTCCCCCAATTACCATGTGACCTCATGTGTGGCAAAATCTGTAGAAATACTTTTGTTAGTTGTAGCGCTGTAAAATGATTACCGAAGTTTGTTAAGGTGTTCTGTAAAAATCATTGTGATCACGTTGAAAGGAAAGACGCAATGGCATTTGGAGTTAAGACGCTAATTTTAAATTTATGGTAATTAAACACGCGGAAGAAATCAAGAAATACGCTGCAGAACAGAAATTCAGTGTCGTGGAACCAAATGTACGATGCTGGAAGAAACAGAAGGAACTGTTAAAAGAAGCAAATTCAACCAGAAAAGCATTTCGTAAGACCAGGCACGGGAATTTCAATGCCGCTGACGAAAAAGTCCTCAAGTTTGTGTTTGAGAAATATAAAAAACGGCCTTCCCGTTACCGGAGAAACGACACAAAGGCGTTGGAAGTTGCTACATCCCTCAAGATCGTACAGCAAGATTTCAAAGCCAATAATGGTTAGGCAGTAAGATTTATGTATTGTGAGGGATTCGCTGTACGTCAGTAACTGCTTTACGGCAAAAGCTTTCACCAGAAGCCAACAGCAAAGCATTTAAAAAGTAGCGCGTCCCAAAAGGTGGCGACTGACTTGTAACATTTGCCTGTAATGTAACGTGTTACAAATCGAGCATTACACAAGTGAAGACAGCGAACGGAGCCGCTCGATGCGAGCTGCTCACGCTCGCGGGCGCTCCATCGTGTTGTCGGTTTTTTCGCGAATCCCTTTGAGTGTTACGTTACAAGTCAGTCAGTCAGTCGAGCGGCGTCGTAACGAGCATTCACGAGTTCTTTAGATAAGAGTAGCGTATTAAATGAAACAAAGATAACACAACCTCCACGTCCGACATATTGAATGAAATGAATGGAGCACACACGAGCACAGTCGAGCCGAGCGTTCAAAACGAGCATTCGATGCGCCTCACCAGTTGTGGTGTAATGTAACATGCTCGCCGCGAATGTTACATTACAAGTAAATGTTACAAGTCAGTCGCCACCTAAATGATAACAAAGGCACAGAACGTGATGTCCTGTGGGAGGAAATTTATGAAGAAAAATCCCTTCATTTAGTGACAAAACTGTTGACTGTAACTAGTAAACTCAGTGTCGTGTTTGTAGCTTTTTATTAAAATAAAGCTCTAACCTTGATTAATAAAATTAACAACCTTAATTAGCTCACCTTGATGACACCAAAAGCAGTGGAAAATAACAGTTGCTAAATCATATTCTTAGCTTGATTTTGCACAGTTATATCTTCCGAGTTATTACGATTTAAATGGTGAGACACTAACATAGTTGATGAGCTAACATGATGCATGCCGAAGTTACACATTCAATTCCAGCTGTAAAACTAGAATATTTGGGTGAAATTATCCATTTCACGACAGGAAAGCAAGTGTTTCCATTTCACGCATGGAATACAAGCTTCTAAACCATGACACAGACCACATGTATCATCACGTTACACTTTAAAAACGTGTGTGAATTAGGAGGAGGTGGGGGGGAGGGGGGAGAATACTTAGTTACGAGGAGTCGGGAAGTAAAACTGTACTCACATCTGTTTCCGTATGTACTCCTTTAGCGTTGGTTCATCCAAATGCATGTAGCTGCTATTATCAAAGTAGAACGTCCCGAAGTAGGGCATCATGAAGGCTGGCTGCTCGGACGCGCCCCCAAAACTGTTCACCTGAAGCAACAAAAGCACTCCACTACTAGACACAGCAAAGCAAGGCAGAGATTACATGCCATTTGTATCTACTCGTTAATTATTCTGTTTTGCTCAGACATTACGCTCTCTTCACCAATTCCCACTCAGATGGGAAAAGAAGACAAAATTAGCTACATCACATCACTGCAAAAAAACACGCAACACGCTAGAAGAGAGGTAGGAGGTTAGCCCAGTTCTCTTCAGAAAATTACAGAAAAAATTCTATTACCTCCATAACAAAACTGCTAGCACAACTTTACAGCCAAATGATCTTTATCTAACTTTATCTCGCGTTATCTAACTTATCGGCTACATGACCTTTGCCTTACCTCTCTCTCTGCACTTTTCAAGTACTACGGACTGGGGCCCACCCAGCCTCCTATCCAATTGGTACCGGGGTCATTTCCCTGGGGTAAAGCGCGGCCAGAGCGTGACGCTGACCGCTCACCCCCATCTAGTGCCGAGGTCGAGAATGAGTACGAGCTATACCTAATCTCCCTCCGAGCGACCTACATGGTGTGTAGCGGGACAGCTTTATGTTATGAAATGAAATGAAACGTACCATCACACAAAACTTCTACTCTCAGGCTGTCGACAGTCCATTTAAAATACAATTCTGTAAGTAATACTTCTGCAGCATCGAGTGAAGATAAACATCGCACTGAACAGAGAGAAGATGAGAGAGAGAAGTAGATAAGAAAACTGTCGGGTGATAATTCTCCACCTACACTAAAGACAAGTAACCAGAAACAAATCAAAACTTGAACTCCGAGATTATCGAATGATTCTATAAATATCTTCAAGGATTGTCCCACAATGTTGGAAGAGTCGTGAAAGACAACTTCAATCTATACACAGATAATTCTGCGGAATTCGACAGAAAAGACAAATAAATCTATTCAAAACCAGGAAGACACTAATTCTGATGAAATTAAACATGGTGCTGTAACCATGGGAACTACAGATCTAATTTCTCAGATTATTGAAGCAATAATCACTAACTTACTTGCCGAGTTGTTTGTATAAAATATATTCTTATATTCTTTCTTGAAGTTCTTTATAGTTACAAATCGCAAGTCTTGCTAATTCAAGTCATCTGCCGAGTTTCCACATAGGGATTAATCAATCTCTCCTCAAAGTCTAAGCCTTGCTTCTTAGGTGTTGCTCGCACACCGCGCCGTTCCCTTCCACTAACCAGCTTAGCCAATAATGAACACGCAACCGACTGCACATGCCCACAGAAAACCATCCAGGTCTCTCTACAGGTGGTCGACGGATTTCAAGGAGTTGCGGAAGTGACTAGCGCGGGCGACCCACGGCTGCTATGAGAATCTGCAAGTTCTTGTCCTACGCTCACGCAAACTCAGGTGAAGCAACATTATTTTTATAGAGACATTCACACACGTACTATTTTGAGACAGGCCATGATATTAAAACAGTTCAAAAAGACTGGATAATATTTATCTCAATTATCAAGAACCCAGACTTGAACTAACAAATAATAATTACAACACTCTACAAGGCACGACGAGCTTCAGATATCATAAATAAATTCAAACAGTCTTATTTGTCATATCTCGATCCGGCAGTGGGCAAGGCCATGGCTGCTTTGCAGGGGGTGGGCACTCGTCTAAAAATAGCACACGCCTAGAAAATCAACAAAATGGGGGACAAAGGAATGAAGTCCTGCTGACAACGCCAATAGCTAAAGTGTAAGATCTGATGCGGCAAACAAGAAACCAAAGAAAAAGATCCACTCTACGGGGAGAAAGAGATACTGACGATGACAAAGAATTTGCAGGAAAATACCGTAACATGCCCAATTCGATAACTTTCTTACTTCAGTAAAACCAACGAAATTCCACATATAACTGAATATCTAGACTTGTGGAACTGCCCATTTTGGAAGAAGAGACTGACCCCCGTGAACGCGAAGTCTCAAAGCTCTGAAACTGAAAGGTGGGTTATCAGGTTGCATAAATTACAAGGCAAACGTGCCGCTGCTGCAGTTACATGGGATGATAATGTTACGTCCTGTTCCCTTCTACAATTTGGATCTGAGGTTTGATTTAAAAAAATACGCAAGGAGAAGACTGAAATACCAGCTAACTGCACATACAGTATGGGGAGGGCTAGGTGACGTAACTTATCATACAAGCCGTAGAGACGTAATTTACCTGAGTGTAGTCTGTTGGGTAATCTGGATAGTCAGACTCATTGTGGGGCGGTCCCCCTCTTCGGTAACCCCCCCGTCCCGAGCCTCGTCCGCCACCGCGACCACCTCTTCCTCTGTGTCTGGGTCCGCCACGACCACCTCTATAGTGATGGCCACCTCTGTCCCAACCATCAGCACCTCTCCAACCATCACCATCTTCACGGCCGTAATAGTCGGACCCTGCAGAAGAATCCTATTAGCTGCCATATGACTGCTATTACTTCACTTGCACCATCCCAAATTGCAGAATTGAACGATGACCAAAAGCTTCTATTAGTACGGAATGAATAACAAAATGTTCAAAAATACAAAATTCTGAAGACGGCCGTCTTCTGTGTTGTTGCGGCATGGAGTCTGGCGGGAGTGAACCGACGTTTCAGAATTTGCCTGATGCCTCCGTCATCAGGGCAATGACCGCCATCTAATACTCGCAACCGCGAGAACATCAAATCTCACATATGAAACTGTTTACAAAATTTTCTACTGAAAGCAAATATTATTATATTTAACAGTTTCAGCCACCTTTAATTAATCATCATAATTGTGACTTCTTACATAGACCATCATCTGAAAGATACAAAGTTTATTCATAATCACATAAAAAGTAGAATCAACAACGAAACATTCATTGTAACTACATAAAATAATACAACGAAAATAAAAATAAAAATGCAGTAGACAGATACAGAGACACGTCTGCACTAGACTTACTTCTGAAATTTCTGCTGCATTCCAACGTTCAAGCAACACATATTACCCCTAAGCATAAAAATGTTGGCAGTACCGACATATATTGCTGATAAATAACTGGGCTAATTCGTGGAATAGAGTTTGTCTTGAGAAATTGTCACCCATCCGGCCATGTGAATTTTCTGTCTTTCGTGGAACACAAAGGTCCATCACTGCGTTCACAAGACGCTGACACTAATGTTCCAAAGTTCAACATGAGTGACAAAAAATGTGGTGACCTAGACTGGGTACTTCCTTATCACAGCAATTTAAGATTAAATTTCATTTTATGAACAGTGTAAGCCGGGGTACCTCAGTCAGGACAGTGACTGGCTACGGACTGGACGACTGGGGTTCGATCCTCGACGGGGGCAGAGGATTTTCTTCTCTAACTTCTGTGTCCATGCCGTTCTGGAGCCTACCCAGCCTCCTATCCAATGGGTACCAGGGTCCTTTCTTGGGGGTAAAACGTGGTCAAGGCATGGCGCTAACCACTCGCCCCATCTAGTGCCGAGTTTAAGAATGAGTGGGAGCTATACCACCTCTCCCCCCAAGTGCCTACATGGTGTATAGTGGAATAGCTTGACTTTAATCTTTAAAATAATAATTTTCTTGTCAATATGTACAGAATCTCTGGTGTGTATTCAAAATGACTCCCAATAACCCTTTACCCAAAGACTTCGTTTTTGCACAATATAAACGGAGGATATATATAACACATGGCCTCAACGAGTCACACTATTCAACGGCTTATTCAATTTTCCTCCATTTCCAGAACATAACGTACAAAAGTATCGATGAACAGCTAAAAATATGTTACAAGAAATTAATCAATATCCCACAGCCCGCTCTTAATTGAAATGTATGCATATAGCGTTAATTATTTTTTTACATTTTTCTATAACCTGAATAAAAATTTTATACACTGCAGCTAAGCTTATTTTCATCCAAGATCCAAACCCACATCTGAATTATGAACTTAAATACAGTCACAACAAAAACTCAGAATGAACGCCAATTAAAAAAGCATCCCCCAAAAGAGACAGCGCCCACCCCGACTGCCAACCCAAGCTCTGAAGACGTGTGTTCATGGCAGTGAATCAATCACCGAGCGCTTCAGGTGTGTTTGCGCATTAGTCATTTCTGGCTCCACCACAATATTTCCGTGCCAAATAATCTACGAAAGCAAAACATCACTTATGACTTTCTTGCCCTGAATTCACAAAAAAAATTAATAGAATTTGAGGTTTTCACAGTGGTCAGTGTGAAGACGGCTCTCTTCCGGGTTGTTGCGCCATATAGTCTCTGGCAGAGGTTTAACAGCGTTTCAGAGGTCTTTGCTGCCTCTATCATCAGGGTGATGACCTCTGAAATGTCAGTAAACTTACACTAGACTACATGGCACAGTAACCCAGATCAGTCTATGAAATTATAAAGAAATAAAATTTCAGAAGCAGGATTTTGTTTCCTCCTCCAGGTAAAAAAGACATCTGAGGGTACCACAACCAGGGGGCTCAACAGATAGGCTTTCTGCCCCCTTTCCCCATTTTTACCTCGAAGCACAAGATAAGCCCAAAACAAAAATTTTACATATCATGACACACCATCGTCAGATACCTCGAGACTTTGAGAACAACTTGCATTTATTTAAAGAAATGCAACGATCATGAAAGAAGATTGAAGAACGTTCACTCAGAATATAACAACTAGATATCTTAAAATCTTCTAATAACGAATTATCATAATTTTCAAATGCTCCACAATTGAAGTATTCAACGCATGAAAGCAGGTGTACATTACCAATTTTAAAATTTGTAGGAGTATATAAAAAGCTGCTGGAAAAAAACAAAACTTTTATATCGATTAATTGAACACGAATTCCATTCCTTGCTTTGCACGTCAAAGAAAACTTATGACACACTCCAGTCAGCACATCATTTTCTGCAGGTACACAAAAATTCATTTTTAGATCGTAGAATTCGTGCTGGGCTATCGAATGTCCACAACAAACAAAATTAAAGGATCTGTACGATCTCGAGGAAGGCGACTGCAATAATATCATCAAACTTTGGCACAGCAACTTTAATTAACGCAGAGAATGCGCTGAATTGGCAAAGTGTCAAAAAACGGCTTTCTTTCAGGCTATACGTTTCTACACCAACATAAATAAGTATAAGCATGTATATTAAGTATACCTCGGCAGTGTTACCGGCGATAGATAGAATGCCTAAGTCAGAAGGCAAAGTCTGAAATAAATAGCGACGTTAATATTGTTCGGTTGAGCAAATTAAAATTAATCAAAGTCGATTGGGAAAGCTGTCAAGATGGAGGTTGTGCGAGACAGTCGCGAAAATACCAAGCTACTGAATCTGAACGTAACAAAAGTTTTGAGAATCAAAAAAATTGTTTTATATTAAATTTTTGCAAATACAAAATATAAAATAAAACTGTATAAATCATAATACAGAGACTTCTTTGTGATATACTTTGCCTAAAGAATCTGAGGCATTTTATAAAAATCCCTAGGTATTATATAGAATACCTACGCAAAGTATAAAATAAACTCTTAGTTTCATACATTGCCTAAAAGTTCTAGGAGTTTTATAAAATGCCTGGGCATTCCACAGAATGCCTGAATTTCACACTTTGCCTACTGACTTTAGGCATTCTATACATTGCCGGATTTTATAGTATATATATATATATATATATAATTTCTGGAAGCTTCTTTCAGCAGTGAACTTGTTAGCGAACAGATGCACCTATGACGCGTATGGTCAATCATTCAAAAGCTAACACTGCCTGTTTTAAGATGAGGCTTACAAAATCCGTACAATTACGCTATGAATTAACCTCAAATCCACACTGCCTTGTGGGTATTTAATTTCGATTTCTGTCACGACAGAAACGCCATTCACAAAGCTTGTAACAATTCCGACGTACAAAACTTTACATTGAAGCTTTATTAAAAATGTTACGATTCGATAATCAAACCAATTGATACAATTAACTGCGCTGTTTCTGGAGCAGTATTAGAATAAACCTGAAAGGCAATTTATTATGAGTTTAATAAATAAGTAAAGCATCTCTGACACAGTAGCACTATTATCAAGGTACTACTACGTACAACTAAAACGTTATTTACCGTGATCGCCGTTCCTGTCCTTGTAATGTCCGCCATAAAACTTCGGTACACGCTCTCTTTTTCCACATGACTTGGCCAAGTCAATGTCTAAAGGAACCCATTTATGCTTTGGAACTGTTCAAATATAAAAAAAATACACTGTATTTAAAGCATTGCCAACTGTTAAGTAATTTCAGTCTTATTAAACTTTTTAAAATATATTAATTAACACTCGAGCAGAAACAATTCATCGATGCAATTTCCAAAATTACTAAAATAAATAAACTTACAACGCCACAGGGTATCACCTAACACACAGACTTATGAGCAGCTTTAAAATCCAATTAGGAAAGACAATGTACAAGATCCTGTCTGAATTTAAAACATAAAATAAAACTGCGCTAAACATCAGCAAAGTCTGGGCGCATAAATATTTGACGATGAACTTATAAGTAAATTATGCCTAAAAGACGAAAAAACCAACTTCGCACACCAGCTACTGACGCATCACAAGGAAATATTGAGAGGACCGTAGTTCTGTTTCTGCACGAGTTATCATTTAATTCTGTATTAGACGCAATCATTATGTAACATGAATGACCTCATATTATGATTCGTGTTAATTTCATTCAACCTTGAACTGTGTACTTTTATTTTTTACGGTATACACCCGGATATTACTTTAACGCACAATTCACATAATCAAATATTACCAACACAATAATATTCTAAAACATTGAATTAATGTTAGTGCAACCACAAACAATCTTTCTGTGAGCAAATTACCTGGTTTTAAAACATAATTCGAACTGCTGCAAAAAATCACACAACACAACACAAAACAAATTAGCATTCTAATTCAAAACGCCTACCGACCTCGTGCAGAGCCGGGGTAGCTCAATCAGTATAGCGACTGACTATGAACCGGGGGATATTTTCCTCTACCCTCTGTAACCAGACAAGTCCTACGGCCTATCCAATTGGTACCAGGGTCCTATCCCCGGGGGTAAAGCGCGGCCGAGGCGTGACGCTGACCACTCACCCCCATCTAGTGCCGAGGTCAAGAATGAGTAGGAGCTATCTCCTCTTCTCCCCAAGTGCCTACATGGCTTATAGTGGGACAGCTTCAAATTTATTTTTTACAAAGCTCCGGTAGAGACATACAAATCCAGGGCGTCAAATAGTACAGCAGTGCTACCACTCGTACTCACTCTTTTTCCTCCTCTCTGCGGCCTCTGGCCCTGCAGGTTGGCTGCAGCCTTTATGCTGGTCCTCCACGAAGGACGGGCTGCCATTCTCCACGGGCTTTTCTTCGGGGGGGAATGACGGGCCATGCGCTCCGTCGCCGTTCGAAGCCTGTGCACTGCTGGTACTGCTGCTACTGCTCCCGGCATTTCCCTTTATGTGACCATTTTGTTTTGCCATTGGAACGGGGTTCACCTGACTTTTCTTCTACAGATTTAAGTAAGAGAAATTGAGATTTCAGGTTTTCATAGTTATTAAGTATGAATGAAGACAGCACCTCGTAGTCTGGTAGATGCTGGCCGACATTTCGGCGAAGCTTACTGCCTCTACCATCAGAAGGCATAAGCTCCTCAAAAACAGGTCAGTATCTACCAGAATTACCCCCAGAAAACAGCCATCTGCATGACAAATTAAACTTAACGTGTTGGATTAAATTCCACATTAATCTAAAAGTCCTAGATTTCCAACTTTCACTATTTAGAGCGTTCAAGAATCACAACTCGTGACTCTAGAACTTACACCCAAATGCTAGTTTAGCAAAGAACACATGCATCCGACTATAAATTAAAATTTTGTATGTAAGATTTGGGGTTTTCACAGCGGTGAGTCTGAAGACTGCTGTCTTCTGGGTCGTTGCGCTGTGTAGTCTGGTAGACGTTGGTGGACATCGACCAGACTACACGGCGCAACAACTCGGAAGACAGCAATCTTAAAATTTTGTAAACAAACAACTGATCAACTACCATGCTTGACTAATTAATTATTCAATTAAAACTCTGTATTCAAACATACTGCCTGCTCCTAATGCAATAGAGATTTGAACACCGATTTACTTCAACAAGATAATACCATATCTTGAAATAATCCCAATTTATTTTCTACATCGAAATATACACTAAAGAAGATTGTGAACATCAGTCGGTTCTTAAGAGGTCACCGAGGTCTAACGAAAATCACACACCACTTGTAGTTTCTTAAATGTTTAACGGTAAAGAGAAAACATGAATGTGACCTTTAAAGAATGTCAAATCAAAGTGGTTGTTAATAATCTAGTAATAAAGTGATATCCACTGTAACGACTGTATTATCATTATAACCCGCAATCAAAATCAGTCTGAATGGCAGCATTAAGTCAAGGTCATACATGTCTCCCTAAGAGCTGTACGCCATGCTACGTGAACGAAGGCCTGTTCATAACCTACATGACAGAAACGTGTAGGTCTAGGTCGCACAAATACATACCTCAGCGCCTCCGAGAGTTGGCCAGTCATCGACATCTGAGAAGTCACTTGCCTGAATAAAAAGAAATGTTGAAGAAAAAGTGTCAGTGGCGTGTCACGAATTTTTAAAAACAATTGCCTGAAAAGAAACTGAAAACACCATTGACTATGAAAAATATTTGAAAACAACAAATCTTGCAGCTTTTATAAAAGCAAGATCTGGCAACTCTGTGGGGCAATGCCTGCTGCCTGTACATTTGCCTGACATTTCCAAATGGGGTCAGAACATGGAACGAAGGTCTTGCCATTACAGCATCAACATCGTGCTCCTACATCTCTAGTTCAGACACTTCAACATGACAACAACGTAAACCTTTACTTACGAGAGTGCGTAAAGCAGTTTGTTGCACCAAGACAGACAAAGTACAAGATTACAATGCTGACAATACACAATCAGACTCGGCAACATCATCGACAGGCCCACTACTCTACGTCTCTGATCTCCCTCAAAATAGCAATTAACCTTCCTAAACTATACGCCCGTAGCATGTCTGTGAATCGAAAACCACGTAAAATACTTTTTCAACAAAAAAATTTCTGCGAGGACAAGAATTAAAAACTAACACTGATTACTTTAACTCTTGCTACATTAAAATCCTTGCATCGTAGAAAGTGACTGGCATTTCACAGGAGCCCACTGCCTCCACGACTGATTGACGACAAGAGGAAATAGTCTCTTCTGAAACATCGGCCAATGGCGCAACATCCCAGAAGACACTCCATCATCTTCATACTCACTGGTGCGAGAATCTGAAATCTCGCCAACACAGCCGAAGATCACGTGTCATTTGCTTTCCATACGTTAGATGGAAACGCAATCTTACCGAGAATACCTCGTCTTCATCATGGACCTCCATGTTCCCACAGATGAAACCTGGTGCAACAATTACTCCACCGGAGGACTCTAACATTTGTACATGGGTATTTCTTATATAAACACGGAGGCAGTGAAAACTTCTGAGGTGGGACTGACAAGCAATATTACACAAGAACTGACCAAGGACCATAAAATAGTGCATGGTTATCTTCAAAAACACGTGGGATTCTTGACATTTTTATGGTGGTTTTCAAAGAATAAGTAACTTCTGTTGAGGTAAGTTTCTGTGCTGATTGAAATGACTATGGCAGCCATGCAACAACAGCACAAAGCCGTTCACCGTCAGCAACAAACAGGTTACATTTAGCAGAAGATGGATAAGAAACAGCCACACGTCTCATACAGAACCAGTTATCGTATGTTTGAAATTATAACGAGTGAGAATCATCAGCCATCAATTCGTGGGAATACGAACTGGTGATTAGGTGCTCCATAATTTGAACTCTTTGCCAAATATTATTAGGAAGATCAGGTGGGTGGGGCAGATAGGCACAGAGGAAGTAAGAAGTGGGCAGAATTAATCTGGCTCGAGACGCCAGCATCAGGCGCATGGCACAATAACGAACCTCCGCATTCTCTCGCAGAGGGGAATTTCAAGATTACCTGATCGACTGTCAGCTTTCCTTCATGGAGTTCACTCGCTCTCACTCTGTGCTTGGCAGATTAAAATTTTTTAAAAGTTTACGATGTACACAAACCCAGACGTACACCACCCAACGACATATGGCGTGTGAGCCAGCGTACCTCAGTCAGTATAGTGACTGGATATGGACTGGACGACTGGGGTTCAACCTCCGACGGGGGCAGAGGATTCTTTTCCCCTAGCCTCTGCGTCCAGACCGGCTCTGGGGCCCACCCAGCCTCCTATGCAATGGGTACCAGGGGCAAATCACAGCCAGGGCATCACGCTGACCACTCACCCCCATCTAGTGCTGAGGTCAAGAATGAGTAGGCACCAGATTTATTTAAAATTAATTCAGCAGCTTTGGGGATGAAATATTCATGCGGCTGACATGACATTCCCAATGTCTGTTCGTTTTATCCACCTTTTCTAAGAAACAATCTCCAGCCAGATACTACGCCATCAATATGGTAATATTTACTGATTGGTTGAGTTTTCTGTCTACGACGCTCGGCACTTACATGTTGATTGAATCTCCGGCGATCACGAGGTGCTCTGACTATAGTTGGCTTCACAGCATTTACAACTCCATTTTCTGGAACAAAACGAAAATTCCATTAGAAAATAATGGATTCACAGTTCTCACGATTATTTTGACTAAAAGGTATTTATATAAAGACATGCACAAACAACGCTGATAATGACCTCAGCTACGCTCCAATGCCGACAACCCAAGAATACTGACAACATATCAATCTCAACCACACTATTTAGTAAGATAATCAAAATAATAGACTCCTCTGACCAGCTACATTCAAACATGAAAAGATTCATCTGCTTCTATTCACACGTGGAAACCTCTTCATCTCATGTTGACATTCTTAAGTTTACGTCTCATACCGATCAAGAACGGGACAATAATATGAATTCGGTGCGAGGGTTGTTGGTCAAGCTTGGACACTGGGACCGTGGGTTCAAATCCCACTCAAGGCATGGATGTCTGTCCGCGTCTTTCTGTGTTATATACTGTCCCATGTACAGATAGACGCCTTTCGTCCTACCAAACGTCTAAATACATCAAAAACCTCCAAAAAGGAGTAAAAATTGTATAAAAATTGTGTGAGGGTTCATTTTAAGAATAATTTTAATTATACTAGTACGAGCAGAGTGGTCACAGTGTCAATGCAGGGGAAATTCAACAACTGCTTATACGCCTGAAACCTTATCATCCTTAAATGTCACAACAAAAATTATCCCTAAATCTAAGAACACTTATCTTTAGAGTATCAGATACAGCAATTATTTTCAAAGACATCTGCCAATGTTCTACACATTCCTTCTGCAAGATTTGCTGAATTCTGAAAGGGATGAAAGCAGTGAAACGTGAAATGTCAGACAAACATTGAGCGGCACTGGTTCATTTTAAGAATAATTTTAATTATACTAGTACGAGCAGAGTGGTCACAGTGTCAATGCAGGGGAAATTCAACAACTGCTTATACGCCTGAAACCTTATCATCCTTAAATGTCACAACAAAAATTATCCCTAAATCTAAGAACACTTATCTTTAGAGTATCAGATACAGCAATTATTTTCAAAGACATCTGCCAATGAAATCTAAGAACACTTATCTTTAGAGTATCAGATACAGTAATTATTTTCAAAGACATCTGTCAATATTCTACACATTCCTTCTGCAAGATTTGCTGAATTCTGAAAGGAATATGGGAAAGGCAGGTATGACGACAAACGTAAAACACTTCCGGACATGGAAAGAATATCTTAACTGATAAAAAAGGCATATACAATGGTGGAATTCTTACATACTTTATGGTAAAAACACAGCAACAACACGCGACTTAAATTCACAAGATAAATAAATTTAATGAAAGCAGTGAAACGCGAAATGTCAGACAAACATTGAGCGACGCGTGGTTTTAAAAATACACTATATCAATTATTTCATTTTCCTGATTCAGAATGAGATCATCAGAACCACCGCTTGCTGGAGATTCAATATTTCCGACTCCTCACAGAGCCCAAATCAGATGCTCTGTGATTCGGCGACTTAACATTTTGTCCTCCTGAAACTCGCCTTCCAGCTTTCAGGAGATTATCTGCAAACATAATTTTTTCACTGCGTGCTTTGCTCATACCATCCAATGAGCTGGAAAAACTGCATTAAATTCCACACACAAGTCCACTGCCGCACCGAGCCAAAAAATGAACACTGCAGAACACAACTCATGCACTCGTATAAAATCTTTGCTGGATCTACTGCTTTGGTCCACTTTACTAGGTTAGGTTAGGTTATTTTAGGTTAGGTTAGGTTATTTTAGGTTAGGTTAGGTTATTTTAGGTTAGGTTAGGTTATTTTAGGTTAGGTTAGGTTATTTTAGGTTAGGTTAGGTTATTTTAGGTTAGGTTAGGTTATTTTAGGTTAGGTT